GATGTTGATGATGGTGATGACGAGCAGCGCCCTGATGATGATGACAAACCATTACTGTGATGATGTTGTCAAATCATGCCCTGTTGATGATGATGGTGACGAGCAGCACTCTAATGATAATGACACCGATGCTGGTGCTGGTGGTGATCAGCGAGAGTGCCGCAGATGATAGAGATGTATACCAAAACCGTATCAACGCACTCGATATCGCCTCCAATCCTCCTCCCGCTCCACGTAAGCACGCGCTCCTCCTTTCCGTCCGCGTCATACCAACCGCCTACCACAACTCTACGCAGACCAAGGAGCAAAAGCCATAAGAAGGCTGAACTTCTCAAGGAGACCCACCTCCTCTCGAAGGCAAGTTCCCCTTCACCCAACGTGCTAACCTGTAACACCACTGGATGAAGCGCAAAGCTGGAGATTGCACTGAAGTGCTTTCAAAAGGCAGGCAACACCGAGTCACGCTCCATCCACCTGCCCTCCTGCTGTCCGATCTCTACCTCATCACTACCTCATCACCAAGGCGCCCTCACGACAAAACTGCCCATATCCAGGATTGGAAATTTCAGTTTGGATGTTTGCCTGTCTGCGTGATTTCTTGTCACCCCTCTTTGTACTACGGCAGCGCCACGTCAGCAAGTGCCATGTCGCCAAGTTTCACATCAGCAGGTGGCACGTCAGCAGCAGGGCCAAGGCAGCGGTACCGCATCAGCCGACACAGTACAGCTAACCACAGCTTATGTTCCGACGCAGCAAACGCATCGCAGCACGCGAAGGGCGGGCAGCCGCAGCAGAACAGCATCTCCCCTCTGAAATGGAGGCACAAGGCAACCCCACCGTGGACAATGCCGCATCCGGCAGTCCACACACGGTGTGCAGAACGAACACAATTGTCCCACAGGTCCAGCAGGGGAGTTCCACTGCAACACCTGCGGGAGCCCTCAACGCCACGCCAGTCCGGTAGCAGGGTGAGACCACGACGGCCTTCTTGGCCCGCCTGGCCACCTACATACAACAAGTACAAGAGGAACAGCGACGTGAGGCGGCAGCCGAAGCCGGACGCCTCAACGCCATTGCACGCGACTCGGAGCAACGGCGCCGGCAGCACGCTGAAGCAGCTGCCAATCATAACAAAGCTCGGCGAGATGCCCGCATCCATCCTCATGCAGCAGGAAGCCGCCCATACCGCCGCTCTCCAAGCATGGAATTTCGATCCGGCGGAGACGAACACGAAACCAACCATGGAGGAACAGACCAAGTCAGCCCTCGCCAACATCATGCACCAAGTCATCCTCACTTGTAACTGGCAACAAGTGGAGTTGGCTCGGCAGGCACATGTCATTTCTGACTGTGAGGAGACTCTCAAGAGTCTCCATGCCCACCTTGACGTGCTGGAGAAGGATGACGTGCCGCACAGGCACACGACATCCTCAAGCATCGATCCATCGATCCGCGAGCTGGAGGAACGAATGGATCACCTGGTGGCGCTCGTCGGAAACGACCATCAGCCAACAAATGGCCACCCTACAAGCGGACCTGCGTCAGCTGCAGCAGCAACCAACCGGGACCTGCAACAGCAGGACGTCCAAACAATACAAGATGCCGAAGTTCAACATCGAAAAGTTCGATGACTACCACAAGGCAGACCCCATAAGCTGGTGGCAGGGTTTCACCAACGAGCTCGCCATTCACTTGGTCCCGCCAGAATCGAAGATCTCAACTCTTTACCTGTGCAGTACTGGTGCCATCCAAGTGTGGCTCAATCACCTGGCACAAACCGAAGGCGTCGAGGTCGCCAAACTTTACACCAAGATCACTTGGGAGGCCATGACCGAGAAGTGGCGGAAACGCTTCATTGTCGACGACGCTCAAGGCAAAGGAGTGAACTGGATGTTCAGCATGCACCAAGGCTGCCAGTCAACACGTGAATGGCTAACCGAGTGGAAGAAACTTTTTACGATTCCGCACCTGGATATACCATTCGTGCATCTTCGACACAAATTCTTCCAGCGGTCAGTTGACGCCTTGAGCACGGCCCTTGGGGAGCGCAGCCTGTACACGGACTTTGACCAGATCGTGAATAAGGCGCGTGAAGTAATCCAAACAAATCGGTGGGCCACCAACGAGCGGCGCAGCCAACCGAATTTTGTGGAGAAGGGCAAAGGCCCACGGACGCAGCAAGTCGCTGCTGTCCAATTCGACGGACAAAAGGACTACCAGGCGCTGATTCACAAGTCTAGTAAAGGAGACGTAGTGAACGCCCTTCTGCCACGACACAACAACAAGAAGAAAAAGGCGAAATCCGCGTCAACAACAGAAGTCGGATAGCCGAATGAGCCATGGAAGAAGTTCCGCCTCACAGAGGAGCAATAGAAGCTCCGCCAGAAGTGAAATTGTTGCTATTGGTGCAATGGCACTAACCACACAACGTCGTAATGCCCCAACATAGGCAAAGAAGACGTCCGCCCACGACAAAGCTCGGGAAACTGAGCTCCGTGGAAAGTGAGGCGACTCCACCTCCTACTCCACCGGCTAGCAACCTCCTCCACGTCCGGGGAACACGCGTATGTCGCAAGTCTTCAAGAAAGTTACAAAGACTATGCTGTCCAGCTGGTCGCTCCATTGGACCAACCTCTCCACGTGCAAGAGTCATATGCGTGTGCGATTTCAACACCATCGCCAATTGAACCATTATCCTTGTCGACGCTACTTGGGGACTCGTCGGTATGGTTGAGACTTGAGGACCTCGACCCATTAACGCCGAAGGACTTCCAATGGCTGCCTCTCCCCCCATCTGGTTCCTTGCCAAAGCCGCATTGCAACGCCTCAATGGCAGAACAACGCAACTACTTGCACGCTGCACTACCAACTCCGGTGATGGAAGACAGAGTAGCGGTTGTTGACCTTCGTGAGTACATTACAAGAATTGACCGCGAGTACGCCACGCAACGGTACGACAACATCGACGCACCGTTACTCTACGTCCGCATTCAGATCGGGAAGGCGACCTGCAGCGCCTTGATTGATTGTGGAGCTACTCGCAACTATATCAGCCAATACTTCATGCCGAACACCGGCCTTGGGCCGCGCGTTTGAAGGAAATCGAAGCCCACGCAAGTCACGTTGGTTGACAGTCGTATGCACAAGTCCATTGACCGGTGCATCGACTTCGTCCCCGTACTTCGCCCCGCATGCACGCGAGGCCGTGTCCTTTGACATATTGGACACAAAGTTTGACATTTTGGGCATGTTGTGGTTGCGCAGCGAGGACCACCCGGTGAACTTCTACCGCCTCACCGCGCTCATTCATGACCGAAACGGGGTACTTGTGCCATGTACGGTCCCCCCACCTCACCCTTCGATTGGTTGTCACGTGGTCTCCGCGATCAGCATTCTCAACTCCATCACACGGAACAACGTGGAGGAAATGGGCATTTGCTTATTGCACGCTCTCCCTCCTCCCGACGAGCCAGCGGCGGAACAGCCACCGGATCCACGTATTGTCGAGCTTCTTGACTCCTATGGCGACGTCTTTGAAGCCCCTGCCGGAATCGTACCGAATCCACGAATTCGTCACGAGATCATCCTCGAAGATGGAGTCGTACCTCCGCGCGAATATATTTACCGCATGAGCGAGGAGGAACTCGAAGTGCTACGAAAGCAACTTGATGACCTCATTCACAAGGGTTGGATTCGCCCTAGCTGCTCGCCCTACGGTGCATCCATTCTCTTCGTCTGGAAGAAGAACAAGGAGTTGCGCTTATGCATTGACTATCGTAAGCTTAACGATCAAACCATTAAGAATGTCGGCCCGCTCCCACGCATCAACGATCTTCTCAAACGTTTGGGCGGCACCAAGTATTTCTCCAAGTTGGACCTCAAGGCCAGTTACCACCAGCTCGAGATCCATCCAAGAGATCGCTACAAAACCGTGTTCAAGACACGGTACGGGCACTTCGAGTGGGTCGTAATGCCATTTGGCCTCACGAATGCCCCGACCACCTTCCAAGCGGCAATGACAACGTAGTTTCGCGACATGTTAGACCGTTTCATGCTCATCTACCTTGATGACATCTTGGTGTATAGCCAGACTTTGGACCAGCACATCGTGCACCTACGCGTTGTTTTGGACAGGCTACGTACGACCGAGCCAAGTGTGAATTTGCACAACAAGAGCTCGAGTACTTGGGCACTTTGTGACGCCGCAAGGCATCCGTCCGCTCGCGGACAAGATCAAGGCCATCCAAGAGTGGCCGAAACCGGCGAACACCACGAAAGTTTGCTCTTTTATGGGATTGGTCGGGTACTACCAACGCTTCATCGGAGGATACGCATGGATCGCCACACCCTTGTCAAGATTGCAGTCTCCAGAGGTGCCCTTCCATTTCACCGACGAAGTCCGAAGTTCGTTCAAGAAATTGAAGACAGCGTTGCTCCTCACTCCCGTCTTGAGTATCTACGATCCCACTTTGCCGACGAGAGCGACTACGGACGGTTCTGGCTACGACATGGGTGGAGTTTTAGAACAACACAACGGAGTAGATTGGCATCCGGTTGAGTATTTCAGCCAAAAGGTGCCCCCCATCAACTCGGTTGATGATGCGCGGAAGGAGTCGCTTGCTTTCGTCACGGCACTCAAGCGTTGGCGACACTTCCTCCTTGGGCGTCGTACATTCACTTGGGCTACGGACCATAACCCATTGACCTACTACAAGGCGCAAGACACGATGAGCAGCATGATCGCTCGATGGATGTACTTCATCGATCAGTTCGACTTCACACCTAAACACATTTCGGGCCTCTCCAACCAAGCCGCAGATGCTCTCTCGCGAAGATCAGATCTTTGTGCATTGACTCTCCACGCGTTCAGTTTCAATGACGCCCTTCATCAGCATTTTGTGCGAGCATACAAGTCTGATCCGGAATACGCCACGCTCTACGAGCAACTATCATCGGATCACCCGTCGGCCAGCCATTATCTCGTCGTCGACGGCTACTTGGTTCTTCACTCACGAGGCAAGGACTTACTATGCATCCCACCCGACCGTCGCTTACGGACTCGCCTCCTCGGCGAGTACAACGACTCACGACTCGCCAGCCACTTCGGAGTCAACTGTACGATCGCAAGACTTCGACAATGATTCCAGTGGCCCGACCTCATTACCGACGTCACTCGGTATTGCGACTCTTGCGAAGTTTGCCGACGAAGCAAGCCCCGTAATAGCAACCCCTACAGCGAGTTACGCCTGTTGCCTATCCCACAGGAACCCGGGCTCTCCATTGCTATGAACGTCACCGGCCCGTTCCCCCGCGACCACTTCGTTCACGGCGGCATTCTCACGGTTGTTGACCGTTTGAGCAAGTATGCACGATTTCTTCCTTGCAAGTACTATGTCACGGCTCCCGAGCTTGCGCGCCTCTTGCACACTGGCTGGATGTGTGGCCACGGCGTTTCGGAAGACATCGTCAGCGATCGCGACACTTGTTTTGTGTTGACATTTTGAACTTCTCTCATCAAGGAGTCCGACACCGAGATGAAACCAAGTTCGGCTCGGCATCCACAAACGGATGGGCAAATGGAGCGGGCACATCAAACTGCTGAAATGATGATTTGTATGCTCATCCGTCCGGATCAAAAGGATTGGGATGACCGCCTTCCCGACATCGAGTTCGCCTACAACACTTCGTTGCATCCGGCGATCGGCGTGACTCCATTCGAGTTGCACCACGGTGGCCGGAAGGGCCGTATCTTCGCCGATCTTCCATTCCCTTGGACTGCCGATGTTGACGCCGCTTGTTCTCCCGCCTCCATTCGGAAGTATAGGGACTTGCTGGCTAAAGCCCATGCCAACATGCAAAAGGCTCAAGTCCGCATGCAACAACAAGCTAATAGGCGTCGCGTGCCATGCCCTATCCACGCCGGCGACCTTGTTTGGGTCTCCACGGAGGAGTTTGCGCTTGAACAAGACGTATCGTGCAAGCTACTTCCAAAGTGGTTTGGACCATGGACCGTCATATCAGCCGCGGGTGATGAGCCCGATGGCCCTTCCTTTGTGATCGAAATTCCGCCGCATCTCACGGTGCACCCGGTTTTCCACACCTCCAAGCTGGCCACATATACACCAGCCAAGGGCGACGACTTCCCGGGCTGACAATCGTAGGACCCTCCTTGGATGGTCATCAGGAAGTCGATCGCATCATCACGCATCGCAAGCATGACAACAAGCCAATGCAGTACAAGGTCACATTCAAGTGGTGCGACCACGACGATACGCGATGGATTTCACGAGCAGCTTTGCAAGCCTCCGCACCACTTATCTACGTCGATTATGAGAAGAAACGGCTAGCCACGGAAGCTGCAAAGCCTCCCACCCGGACTTCAGTCCCTCCCTCCAACAGACAGCTTCGCCCTCGCAGGTAAGCTCGGTCTGTCAAGGAGGGGGGAGTGTGGCGTACTCGGGTCCACACGGGCCCAGCAGGGCCCGACCAGGTAGGCTAGGGGTCCGTAGAGTGTAGGGTCTGTGTTGTTTCAACCCTTAGTAGAGTCCGCAGGGTCGGTAGGCCGAGTTTTAGGCCGAGTAGGACCGGTACCAGTTAGGGGCCCTGT